CCCCCCCCCCCCAAATGACAGGCTCCAAACCTGTCTTCACTTTCTTAAAGCCCAGCTATTTTTGCAGACTCACAACTATGAGCCATTATCCAAAACGGACAATCACATCATCATTACAGAATGCAAATAAAAGTCATTGAGAACTGCATCTCTCTTTACTTGTAGCTCTGCTTTCCTGTTTTCACTACAAGCTCAGAACTGCCAAATCTCATCCACAAAGTGTAAGACTCGCTCAGCTGGTGTCTGTCTCACATCCCATCGCTGTGCTGGTAACTTGGGATTTGTATCTCCTCTCCCCTGACATGGTGAATGGGGCCGTGAAGGGAGAGGTGAGCTCTGCAGCAGCACTGGGCTTAAGGACAGGTCTGCTACAGGCAGCTGATGGCCCAAAGCCGCTGTGTCCATCGAATGTCCTCAGTGAAGCAGCAGGGAGCATGCTACTGCAAGACTTGACACAACCCCTCTTTTAAGGTAGGGTTCTAGAGTGCTGAGAGGCCAGTAACCTGCCTAGAAGAGACTCTGTTTCCATTACGTCCTGTACAACAACAAATACAAACCAGGTTTACCAAAGAGCTGCTAAAGAGATCTCAGTGGGTGAAGGGTCTTCCCTGAAGAAGAATAGATGGGTGGGATGAAATCTCACGTAGGAAACAAGGTGAGAGCGCTCCTCCAAAATCCTGCAGCAAAACCTCTCTCCTACCTGCTGCTGTGCAGGGGTACGTACAGGTATTGCCCACTCTGTTGGGATCCTGCATCCATCTTCCTTACAGTGTGACTGACCTAATTCCATCCCATGGCTCATGGGTTCCCTTTTCACATTCCTTAGCTACACATTAAATCCTTTTCATCTTTCTGGGTAACGTATTCAGTCCTGTCTCTCCCTCAGTCTTTGTTCTTCTTTAAATTTCCCTGTTTGTAGTCTCTACCTCATGTTTTTTATCTTTCACTTTTATCTTGTTCTCTGTCCTGTTCTGCATCACTGTACTGTCCCACATACTTCAGTTGATCTACTGCCTTTGAAGTCACAGGCCACAAATATTATAGCTTGTGTATATCATCTCCATTTATGTCTATTTCAGTGTTTCTTCCTGCATGCACAATAATCCTTATCTAATGAAGGTTAAACCTTCTGAATTCTTTCCAGCTCTTTCTGACCCATTTATTCTTCTGGGCATTGCTGAATTTGTTGGGGTTTTTTGTATTTCTGGTTCTTTTTGATGGTCCATTTGGATAGTCAATGCTTCCAATATTTAGTAATCTGAAACAATTTCTAAATTCTATTTTTATTTCAAACCAAATTTCGGTCTAAGATTTCAGTGCTGTGTGCACTGAACATGGATAGCCCTTTTCCTTCTCTCACTGTAGGATCTGACTAGTTTCAGTGAGGAACTGGCTGCGGCTGAGTCAAACCTCTGCTTGCTCTCCATTAGTTCTCCTTGCTTTATGCAAGGAGTGCCAGGCAGTGTATATCTTTTCAGAGCAGCTGATCTCTGTCAATTAATAATTTTTTAATATGCTATATCATAGGCCTTTTTTAATACTGGATTTGATCTTGCTGTATACTTTTTTCCTTCAGCACCTTTCCCATAACACGCACTCCGATTCTTCAAACTTTCCCTTTCCATTTTATCTATTGCTTTATTCAACGCCGCTGTTATTCCTCCCATGTTTGGCCGCCAGGGTTGGTTGAAAGATCTTTCGGCATCGTTCATCTTTTGGGTCTGCTGACTTCGGACTTTGATAAGGCAAGACACCGGCGCTGCTGGTTTGCACTTGGCTCCACGTCGTATGAAAAATTTAAGCCTTGTTAATATAAAGATGAGAGAGCACTCCTTGTTCTTTCAATAAAGCAAGTTAGGAGGGCTTTAATGCCATGACTGTACTGCTCAAAAGAAAATTAATTATTTGTTCAGTGGCGCTGGAAAATTGTGATTCCTCATTAAGCCACTGGGCACGTAGAACGAGAACAGAGTAAGAGCCTTGCTTCGGCGCTGAGCCGGCTTCCTGTGGGTGGGTTCAGTGCTCTGTTTCTGCTGTGAGACAGCCAGCGTGGGAGTCAGTCAGCCCTCAGCTAAGGAAAAGGTGGTTTTATCCACTGCATGCATATCCCCCTGCAAAGTAGACTGAGATTGTTTGGTTTATTTCACTTGTAAAAGAAATAAATTACTACAAGCTCTCCAGGCTGTAGGCATTATCATGCGCTTCTTTGACACGACCTGCACGGGTTTATCAGCAGCAGATAGTGCTCTTCCTACTGAAAGCTGTTACTTTTTTCCTGCTAATGCAATGCAAGGACTGGAAGGACGAACTCAGTGTCCTCCCCCCAAATCAGTTGCTGCTGCAAACGCCGCTTGCAGAGAAATGCTCAGCGTCTGACTTCTTGAGACATGCAAGGAACTCATCTCTCCTGGATTAGTGGCAGTCTTAATGCAAAGATTTCCAGGTGAAATACTATCCTGTTTGTTACATGGGCAATGAGACTGGCAACTGCATCGGGCCGTTTTGAGCTTAACGTTTCTAAATCTCCCTCAGAGCTTTGTTAGAACAGACCAATAAATGTTAAGGAACTTCCAGAGAATAAAATATCTTTCTTCTTTATTTAGAAGTGGAAACTGTGAAAGATTTTCTAAACAAATGGTTCTTAACATGCCAGGAAGATGCCTGGTTAAGTAGCTGGAAAAATGTTTTCAGTAAACAACTTGCTGCTTGTCTAATAGTAACTTTGCAGTGTAAGCTCAGTATTAATTTTCTGGAGTGGTAGCTCATCTTTATCACTTCGCTTCAGCATTCCAAAAGGAAATTGTTTCCATAATCTGTCAAAAGAGTTGCTGGACCATTATTACTTTAAATGGCTATTAAGAAATGAACGACTGAGACTTAAGTCAGTGAAATCTGTGCTAAAGATAAGAATTCCAGGTTATAATCTACATTAGTTTCTGGATTTTGTCTTGTGACTATAGACAAGGATCTAGTTCTCCTTATAACTATTTCCATGACAAGGCAACTGATTCAGAGTATAAAACTATGGTAGAAAGAGGGAATTATTTTACCCTTATAAATTTGCAACAGAAATATTTGCAATGCAGAAATATGAAAATATGTTCATTGCAATGTTTGAATGAGTGGAATGAATGGAGGCTTAACTGATACCCGCCTGGTAATTAACCAGATGCATGGAATGGGTCAATCCTACCACAGCATTTGGGATTTTATCCAATGATTTTATCATGCAATTCTTAAAAAAAAAAAAAAAAGCCAACTAAAACAACCAAAGAGTTTTTTCCTCTCTAATCTCCTTCTATTTATCCTCATCCCGCAAAAGCCGTGTGTGACATGCAGTACTGCTCTGCCCAGGGAGCTCCATGTCTTTCTAAGCGCTGACTCTTTTGGCAGTGGAGGGCAGTGGCGTTCCCACATGAAGCAACGTCTCTGTATCCGTAGCAGTCTCTTTACCATGGAAATGATGTCTCAATACTGCAGCTTTAATCTCTGCAAACAGGCCAAAATATTATCCAACGTAGCTCAAGAGCTGCACAATCCTGTCTGTGGCAATCCTATGCAGGGGTCACCTTCGCTGCGCTTCGATCCAGTATTGAAAAGAAATGGGATTGTTCCTGCTCTGACTGCCCATGTGTGTCCTCTGGAAGCTTAACAGGCTGAAGGGAAGACGTGCACCTCCTGTATTGGCAGTCAACTAAAGAAATACTCACAGCCCCTTCACTTGTATAAAACGTGCAGCTTTTTAGCAGCTGCTGAATTGGCTGATAGATTCTGGTACTTAGCACGGTCAGAAAAGAGACAACTTGGCAATCAGTATGTGGAACCCAAACTTAGAACTGCAGCCTGGATGGGATTTTTGCACTTTCTAAAACATTTATAGAGAATGAGGACATTGTCACAAATAGGAAAATGCTTAAATGTTGGAGTGGAGATTGATTGAGGGCCCTGCAGGAGTGCTTTGAGGATTCCAGGGCAGAGATTTTGCTTCAACAATGCACCTGGCCGTGATGGCTGATGAGACGAGGGCAGAGGACAGTCCCACTGCGCAGCGCCCGTACCAGCTCTCCAGGGCCACTAGGCACAAACCTTGGCTCTTCCAGTAAAGTAAGCATGGAGACAGAGAACAGTCATGGTAAAGTTGTTTTATGTGGGCATTTTTTGCGTTTTTACGTTAATCTCTCAGCTTTCTGTAATGTACACCTATTGTATGTTCACCAATGGGTTTATGCCACCTTCTACATTTATCAAGTCATGCTTCACTGTTGCATTTGAATGCACCCCCTCTAACAGAAAGTAAGACAGCAAATACTTTCTGTTCTGATTTACCTCCTTCTGCCTGAGAAGAAAGAAACCTTTTATCTTCATCTCATGTATTATTACTAGGAAATTTCAGAAGTGTACACGTGAGATTCTAGACTCTGCTGTACTGCACACAACTTCCAGAAATGGTAAAAGATTTAGTATCTGCTTTGTCTGAGGCTTCAAAGCGGGTGTGTTTCTGCTTTGCTTATAGAAGTAAAATCCTTAGGAACAGATTCCAAATCAGGTTGTAATTAGTAACAAAAGAGTAGCAAAATAACTTTGGAGGAGGAAATTATACTAATATTATTAATCTAGTAGCTCACTTCATTTGATCCCAATCTTTTTTTCTACTAATCTGTTCTGTGATACCCAGTAACGTCACAATATTTTTCTGTAATACTCAGTAGCATCATGATATTTTTCTGTACAGTATTTTCAGAACCCTAATAAGTTCCACTTATTTTTCCGTATTTAAAAAAATGTATTACTGTTGACACGTAACTGGTTGTTGTAACTGGTTAACATGATTGTACAGAGAAAGTAAATAAAGTCTGTAAAATTTTGTGAGGAATAAGTTATTATGTAATTTGCATGCCAGGAAGAAGACCTGCAAAACTGAATGACTCGTAGTTCTAAAGAATAAGCATTTTTACTGAGAGGTTGATATATACAGGAATCAAAGGTGTCTGGATGCACAAAGGTACAGTATAATAGAGGACAACGCTCAGCTGGAGAAAGATACTCTGCAAAAATGACACCATGATGTTCTGTAATTGCCTTTCACTGGCAATTTATCAGTTATATTGCGTAAAAAGCCTTGGAAGCTCAACGTAGGTTATAAAAGAGTATTATTTCCATTTCATGCATCATCATGACTGATTGAGAACATAAAGACCAAATTACTTTTGGAGGCATCTGCATAACTCTGCAGCCTGCAGTGATGTTTTATCTGGCTATATAATTCTGGGTGCTTTTGTTTACAAAATAGCCCTGTGGATTTTGTGATGCATCTTTCTTCTTGGGCTCTCTCTGCAGGAGGAAATGGAATAAAATGTACAAAAAAAAATTGGTTTGACAGTAAAAGCAGCAAAGTTACTCTGAAAGCACCAGAAAAAAAAAAGGAAAAAAAAAAAAGCTATTCAACTGAATATGGTGTGAAAATTGCAGTATTATTTATGCAGAACTAGACAAGTCATTTAACAAACTAATATGCTCCACTTGCTCAACTTTCACCTAATTCTAGTTCTCTCCTCAGAAGCGTCTTGGGAAAAGAGAAAAAAACAGCACAAAATTTCCCTTCAGTTTTGCAGCCTTTTTTTTTTTAAGGGGAGCTCTTACTGATAAAGATCTGCAGATGTCACACACAACTTTAATTTGCTCATCTGATAATTTGCAAATTGACTCTGTTTGCTTTGTGTCTGTCTGTCTCTTCTATCCCCAGGGTCAGCGGACTTTCTCCTTTCATGGGAGACAACGACAACGAGACGCTCGCCAATGTCACCTCAGCAACGTGGGACTTCGACGATGAGGCTTTTGATGAAATCTCCGATGATGCCAAGGACTTTATCAGCAATCTCCTCAAGAAAGACATGAAGTAAAGCTGTGGGACTTGATATACTTTCTATGTTTGCATTTAGCTGAACTTGTCGTTCTTGTTTCCCCACCGTGAGTCTCCCCGTTGACGCAGGCAGCTCTGGCGATACTTTATAAGGAGCTGTGTGTGCCCGTCGGTGTCTGCGCAGGGTGCAGGGCTGAATGGAGCGCTTTCTTTGAACCCCCTGCTCCTTCTGCTTCTCCCTTCCCTCGGGCAAGGGGCACCCTGTGGTTTTTGTGTGGCTGCTCCTACCTTCACTGTTGTGTGACACAGATTCCTGCATGACGTGTTCTGTCTTCATCTGAAGGGGTTGCGATTTGACCAGATTTATTTGTGGTACCTCTGAGCAGGCAGCTTTCCTATAAACGTAGTAATTAGGCAAGAAAAAAAAAAATAGTTGGAAGCCCTATTTACAGCAGACTCTGAACAAACCAAGGCAAGAAAACGTACTTCTTCCAACGAGTTTGCAGTCGGATGGATGCAGAGCAGAGGGTTATTTATCCACCTTCCACGAACAAAGTGAAAAATGAATGTGGCTTGATTAGAGATTTGGAAATTTCTGTTTTGTTAAATGTTCAGCACGGCAGGAAGGAGGATATTAAGTGGTGGGAAAGGGGAAATCTCTTTCAGTGAAGGAAAGGAGATCTGGGAGAGGGTTCTGCCAGCATGAGGTAGCTGAATCACTGCCATTGTGGCTCTGCTGTATGTGTTCCATGCCTAAAACATATGGCTTTTCGTGCTTTGTTTTATAATGTTTTATTAACACTTAAAAATGCACAGTTTTCTTGCAAAAAAAAAAAAAAAAAAAAACCCCAGAAATGATGAGTTTAAGAAATAAGCACTGCTGGGAAAGCCGTGCCATGTGATCTATGTTGCTAAATTTAGGAAACAGAAAAATCAGCTCTCAGACAAGAGAGCACAAAATAATGTTAAAGCAGGTAGGTTCAACTATCGTTAATGGCAACGCTGACTAATCTTTTTATATAAAAACAGGAGTCGCTTAAATTGTACTCAATGTCTTCAGCATCCTTGGCTGCAAAAAGACACCAAAAACATGGAAGCCAAAAAACTTTCCAAAGATAGGATGAAGAAATATATGGCCAGAAGAAAATGGCAGGTAATGAAGAGGACATAGAATTGGGCTAGTTATCCTAATAAGTCTCTTGATTTCTAATGTTTATGATTCTGAGAAACACGTCATGCCAGGTGGTTCCTGCTGCTGGTGAGAACTCCAGTGTGGCCAGAGTATGAATGCAGTAAAGCAGGTTTGGTTTCTGCGGGCGAGGAGTGGGAGGGTGCCCGTTATTAACACTTAAAAAAGGATAGTTTTTGTAAAAAAAAAAAAAAAAAAAAAAAGCCCCAGAGAAATGATGAGTTTAAGAAATAAGCACTGCTGGGAAAGCCGTGCCATGTGATCTATGTTGCTAAATTTAGGAAACAGAAAAATCAGCTCTCAGACAAGAGAGCACAAAATAATGTTAAAGCAGGTAGGTTCAACTATCGTTAATGGCAACGCTGACTAATCTTTTTATATAAAAACAGGAGTCGCTTAAATTGTACTCAATGTCTTCAGCATCCTTGGCTGCAAAAAGACACCAAAAACATGGAAGCCAAAAAACTTTCCAAAGATAGGATGAAGAAATATATGGCCAGAAGAAAATGGCAGGTAATGAAGAGGACATAGAATTGGGCTAGTTATCCTAATAAGTCTCTTGATTTCTAATGTTTATGATTCTGAGAAACACGTCATGCCAGGTGGTTCCTGCTGCTGGTGAGAACTCCAGTGTGGCCAGAGTATGAATGCAGTAAAGCAGGTTTGGTTTCTGCGGGCGAGGAGTGGGAGGGTGCCCGGCTGCATATAGATACATATATATATATATAGCACGTGATGATTCCATTTCAGGCTACTACAAGGCGTATGAGTTCAAGTGTAGTTTTTCCCATTCTTTTGGGGTATGACTATCTCTCCTGCCTGCCCTTTCCATCCCTCTGAGGGCTGGGCGATTCTGTTGTCCCTAACAAACCTGAACAGCTTGGGAAAAGCTTATCCACCTGGCCTCCCTAAAGACACCTCATTTTGTGCTGGCTTCGTTCTCCTAAGCCAGTAGCTCTGTCCTGGTGGATCACCAAGCTTCTGAGGGATTCGGTCAGATTGGTTTAATAATTTTCTTTGATTAATTTGGTCTCCATATCTTCTTTTATCTTAATGCTGGAACTGCTGTAGCCGGTCCATGTGTGCTGTTCTGGTAGCTAGGGGAGCTGATGTGTAAAATCCTGGATCCAGCCTTTAGAGTAGCCTAAAAAATACTCATTTACGTAAATCTACCTCGTATTTCCTCTTACGTTCTACTGTACGTGTTTCTTAGGAGCTCATGCAAGCTGTGCAAAAACACAAGTGTCCGTACTAGAGGCATCATAGTTTGAGTGTATTTTAGTATCCTGGCGGTGGATTCTCCAGCCTGTCAGAGGTCTTTCTCATTCATTTCACATGAGCCGGTTATTCATCCTTGATGAAGCTGGGTCCAGCCCCTATGGCTATCGAGGGAGCCGTCCACCACCAGAGTTAATTTCCAGTAAAACAGGACATAGCTTTTCGCCAGCCCTCCTCTCGCAGAGCGCTTTTTATCCGCGGCTAACAGAGACATTCATTTAGGTATGAGTTCATCAGGGGAAGTTTATATCTGCAACTAAATTTGGTAATTCAGACCAGCCTGCTCTGTCTCTCCTAAAACAACAGAGCTATATATAAGCAGTTTGTCCAACAATTCCAGTGAGGTTTGCAGAGATCCCAGATAATTTGTCCGAAGCACGATTGTTACAGAAAATCACATGCCTTTTGGATTGGATTGATCAGAAGCCTTTTATGTTATGTCTTAGAAAACAGGCCATGCTGTCCGAGCAATAGGAAGGCTGTCGTCCATGGCAATGATTTCTGGTATGAGTGGGAGGAAGGCCTCTGGGAGCTCGCCTACCAGCCCTATAAATGCAGACAAAGTAGAGAATGAAGGTAAGCAATTTTGCTGCACCGTATTTTTACCTCTGTCTGAATGCTATTAAAACTTTTAGCAAAATTCACAGTTCTAGAGACCGATCGTTAAGTTGGTTATTCCTGCGTGCTCTCTCTCTGTTTTTGCTTCTTTTCTTTTTTTTTAAAGAAATCTATCAAAAATTCATTTTCCTCATGTTGTTCTGCTACTCAAAATGCCCCAGTATAAGCATGGGCAGTAAAGTCTTCTCTTTTTAAAGCCAAAGAATGAAGGCAGATTTGTAAGCTGAACTTTCTATCAGTTTGGGAATGCATGTTTATACAAAGATTACAGTGATGTACTGCCTTCTCATGCCAGGCAGCGAGCAGTAAAGTATTAACACTTGCTGTAACCGAGACACGTATTCTGCATTAACCGTGCTCCTCAGACACGGGCATTTCAGAACAAAAATAATGTGTCGATATTATTCCCCTACGTCCCCATTTGAAATGTGGATTTTTGGGGTGTAACAATCAGGGGGGCAGATGTTTGACACTTCTGAAAATCAAGCAAGTCGTTTTGATGTATCCAGGTAGACTGTGGGCCTGATACTGGTTGAACTGGTTTACCCCTCTGATTAGCAAAAGCCCAGGCTCAGTTAGAAACAAATTTAAGGAGAAAATAAAGATGATTTGCAGCGTGGAGGCCTGCATGTTGCCTTCATTCTATTTATGGTCTGAATCTTTGTCCAGCTGCAAAAAATTGGCACAAACTAAGCAGCTACCGTCCTCCCTGTCCCAGTAGCCTTACAGAACTAAGCAAAATAAAAGATGCTTTCGCTACCATCTGGTAATTAAAAATTAAATTGCATCTTTTGAGAATATGCCCTGTAAAATAATTAACTATCTCTTCCCTCTCCTCCAGATGCTTTCCTTGAAGAAGTGGCTGAAGAAAAGCCCCATGTAAAGCCATATTTTACTAAAAAAATCCTTGACATAGAGGTTGTGGAAGGAAGTGCTGCTAGATTTGACTGCAAAATTGAAGGTACTTTGAATTGGCGTATCTGCTTCTTTCTTCCCTTCCTTGCCAGCTTTCTGCATTGTGCTGTTCTTTAAATTTTTCTCTCTTTTTTTTTTCTTTCTGTATTCCTGTTGAGTTGGTGCCATTTTGCTTTACCAATATCTGCACGTCACAGCATGAATGTGTTGCAATAAGAGAAATGACTTGGAGCTGCACGGGCTTGTTCGGTGCTTGTCACAGAAGTCTCCAAGTCAGTGTGTGAATCACTAGTTCGGAATAGCAAGTGGGAACAGCAAGATGTGGTTTTTTTGAGGGTAGAAACAATAAAAAATGTAGTACCACAAATTGGAAGAGTAAGAGACTGCTAGCCAGAAACCAGGAATAAGTAGGAAGTCACTTGTTTGAAATGACAGACAAGTTTCAGGTGACTTCAGAATAACTTTCAGCCATACATACATTGTATTCAAGGCAAAGAAGCCCCAACAGTGTATTTGCATGAGAAATAATGATACCATCATTGTGCTGGTAACAAAAGTCACATCTATAAAATACTGTATTGTTATTTGGTTGTTTTTTAACTTATGAGTTCAAGAAAGAAAACTTAGACTGGAATATGCAGATAGAATAAGTTTATAAGAAAGCATTTAAGGAGCATGGGCTTTGTCAACCTAATGGTCTGAAGGCCAAGAGCTCCACAATTTCTGCTGCAATGAGATTGAACCTTCTGTATTGCGGCTGTTGATGAACGCTAGAAATTAGGAAGAGAAGAGCTGTTAAAACAAAATGGATAGAGTCAGTACCATGCTGCATGTCTTTCAGTTAGACAATTTCTAATCTTAAAATGAGGTTCAGAAACTGCCTCACTGATCTTCTGCTTGTTTGTTTCTGTGCTCCTAATCTCTTTCACTGCCTGTGTTTCCTACCTCACAGCGGGGATGTGAGGATGGATTATTGTTGCTGATGGATGCTCAGCGTGAGGGGTACGTGCAGAAGTACTGCATGGAATACAATAGAGGCATGTCCCAGGGCTGAGGTTCCAGACTCTCCAGTGTACTGCTGTAATGTTCCCTGTCTGTTAGGGTTTCCTGCACTTCATTTCTGCCCAGCGGGAAGTCTCCCTCCCGTCACAGTCCAGAACTTGGCTGAGGTAACAAGCCTTCAATTTGTTCCTGCAGCCAAGAGTACTGTATAAGGGATTGTTCTCCAGCATGCATTGTACAGCCCTGCCCGGGTGCTGCCAGCACAGCACTGCCATTGGCTTCACACAAGGCTCCAAAACTCCTGCTGAGATGCAGAATCAAAATGCTTTTCTGAGAACCCCTCACTTAGTCCTGACAAACACAAGCAGGAAACTGGAGTGCCACAGTCACCGCACAGGACAGGCTGCTGTGTCAGGAGCAGATTAGGAGGAGGAAAATTAAGAATAGCCAGAATAGCAACCTGAGGAGGTTATCAAATTGTAGTTGTAGCCCAGATCATCTTACCCATGAAATTCTAAATCTTGGTGTTGGGAACTGTGGTTTCCCCAAAAGCTGCACCATAAAGTAAGTCTCAATATGCTGCCAAGAGTCCCTCCCTGGCTGATGTCCAAGGCACAGAGAAAGCTTTTCTGCAGCCACCGCTAAAGTGGTGGAAAGCGCAATCTAGGGAGTACCTCAGTGCTAACTTTCAATTTTTTGCTATTCATAATAAAGCTGTTTGGGGTAAATGTGAAGTTAAAAAGCCTCAGATCATCTGCATTTATTTTAAATAGAATTTGACGGAATATTTGTATATCAACATGTTGGCATGTCCATACGCAGACGTGGAGTTAAAGCTCAGAGTAATTCCAGATTAGTTAATGCTCGTTCATTGCAATTGCTGTTCTCTCCCTGCTCCTGCAGGCTATCCTGACCCTGAGGTGATGTGGTACAAAGATGATCAGCCTGTCAAGGAGTCCCGTCACTTCCAGATAGATTACGATGAGGAGGGGAACTGTTCTTTGACTATTGCTGAAGTTTGTGGGGACGATGATGCCAAATACACCTGCAAAGCTGTTAACAGCCTCGGGGAAGCCACGTGCACCGCAGAACTCCTTGTGGAAACGATGGAAGGAAAAGAAGAAGAAGAAGATGAGGAGGAGGAAGAATGAAACAAGGCTCAAAGGAAAAAAAATTGAAAAAAATATATTTAAAGACTCTCCATATAAGGCTCAGTTATCAAAGCCAAGTTATCAAAAGCACCTTGTGTGATACGTAGGTCTTTGGGGGGTTGTTTTTTCAGCATGATCAGTTGATACCTGTTTGCTTTATGTACGGGCATTAATTCAAATCAGCAGGCAATTTTAAGTTGCTCGCTTGATTGGATTTACTTTAAGCAAGTCATCGACTAAGTTGCCCAGTCAATTTTTAAAATCAAATGTACGGAAAACAATTCTAGAGTTAAATTCTGAACGTCTTAGAGAAAAGCAGTCTATTTAGACTATATAGAGCCTATTGCTCTATACCACCACTTTCCTGCAGCTAAGCTGGCGCCCCAAGATCTACTCGACAAGGAGCGGTTTGCCAGACACGCAGTGAATCTCTCCAGTCTAAAGAAAGAGGCTGCTCCCCGAGCAGTACCTTCTATAGGGGAAGGTCTGACACAGCCAGCATTGCAATTTGTACCGTGCTATGGTTCATTTTTCATCTGTTTTAAACAGAATTTCACAGTCCTAACTTAAAACTACTGCCCTTTCTCAGTGCGCTGTCGGTGCCGTTGTAATACTGGCTGAAGTTAAACGCCCAGGTGGTTTCCTGAGATACTTCTGGTCTTGCTTTTAACCAGCGGATCACACCTTGTCACTTTCCCTTATAGAACCTGCCACTTCCCCGCAGTTACAGCTGCTGACTTAAGAAACAGACTGAAAACACAGAGACTGAGAATATTTTCTGGTGTTCTGGTCAGCCTAATAATGACTTGTGATTCATGTATATGCTGCTGTGAAAAAAACCCCAGGTTATTGCACAATCAGTGACTTCTCTGTGCATGTGTGTGAATGGAATCCCAGGTTAGTTAAAGTTTTACTTGCATTTATTTGGCAATTGCAAAACAGATTTCAACTGATGATAAGCTGGAAACTCCCACAGATTTTTGGAGTAGCCAAAAAGATAGTAGCCTGGATTACAAACTCCTTTATACTTAGCAGTTTCCAAAGAGTCTTAACCTATATAGGACCTATTTCTACCTTATGAGCTTGACTGTCTTGTTTTTGTCATGAACCTGCACCAGTAAGGCTGTTGCGTTTTTAAAAATGAAGAAAAACAAAACAAAACAAAGACATCCAAAACCCAGTGTTGTTTTTTTTTTTTTTCCTTTTCTCAGACATGGTTAATGCACTCAGATTTAGTAACTTTGCTTTCCTTTCACAGTATTGGCACTTTTTAATTATTTTTTTTTGTTGCTGTTCAGAGGTAATATCAGAAGCTGCAAGGTGATATGCATAATCCAAAACCAGTGTGTCTTATATCTATGTATCGTTCCAAAAGCGATTCTTTTTCTTTTCCACTTTTTGTGTGTAAAGTGCAACCGTTTGCATTTCAAAGGTTACCTCTTTTAAAAAAAAAAACAAACAACAAACCATTACCTTAAAACCTCACCATTAAGTAGTCAGTGTACTTTAATACAGGTGTGTACAATATCAGCCTTAGGTTGTTTGATATTACCTAGTTGTGTATGTGTTTCATATGATTTGCTCTTCTACATTCAAAGCTCCACTAATGTGGATGACACGATGGTTTTTGACTGCTTTACTCTCTGTTGCTAAGTTCAGATTGCCAGCATGTCTCTTCTTTTTCAATTGATAAAAACCTCTTGTTATACTAAACACAGTATTGCCACAATTCCTTATACAGAAAGGTTTCGAATCTGATTTAGAGCATACAGAGCTTTTCTCACGTTTTGGTTTTTTTTTTTTTTTAATGTTTTAGGCAACAACGGGGTGTATTTTGTACCTTAATAAAAATATGCTAATGTTCTCCCAGTTTGTTAAACCATCAGAATTGCAAAGATGAGAACGCTACGGCTGTAGTTACTCACAGTTCCTAAATAAATAATACCACAAAGCACGCTCCTTGTATACTCTGTTGCAGGCGTCGCCGCGTTCACCTGGGCTAAGCGTAGCAGTAACAGCCTTCTCCTCCTGCTCTGGGCCGAGAGCTCCTCGGCCCAAAAATGGATGAGGTGGCAACAGTGAAACCCTCTTGACCTCTGTGGTGCTGCTGGACGCCCCCGACCCAGTCAAACTTGGAGAGGGCACCACAGCAGCTGTGGGTTTCTTTTACAGCTGAGAATTCCCTTACGGCGGGGAAGTGTTTAGTTCAGAAAGACTGTAAGAACAGGAGAAAAAAATCAGGGAAATCTAATGTAGTCATGTACTTACAGCAATGCTCCTAGAAAGCTTAAAGCTGAAGATATTTAGCAAATATGCTTGTGCTGCCTGTATGCAGACTTCTTCCAGCGTGGAGTCCAACATGTGCGGGAGAAACTCCCGAAAGCAAAGACTGAAACATCCTCCTTGTAGTAACACGTTTCTTGAGCAAATCTTCAGCACAGTCATCTTTGTGGGATGTGCTCTGCTCTCCCGTGAGCATCCCTAACTTTGTCCACTGGGCACTGGTTTCCCTTCAGGTGGGCACGTGCATGAAGCAGTAGAAGGTGGGGTCTGTGGGCACGGCAGGGTCTGTGGAGACACTTGGTGGGTATCAGCACCCACAGCCTCAGTATGGCTGTTCTGCACACATTTTCCCTTCCTTTCCTCCTTTACCAGTCCTTCAATGTCCCACGGACTATAAACTGCCTATTTTTCCTCTTCCCCAAGGATCTAACTAGCTTACCATCTCCCTGCTGCCTCCTATGAACATCCCTTCCAGTCTGCAGGAAACACTGACCTCTACTTCAAAAATTATGTGATAAATATAACTAATTCAACTCCGAGCAACTGACTCCAACCTGCATTTGACCTTGACTTGTTTTGTTTCACTTGAAGAATAGAAGATTATCCTATTTCCACTGAAGAAGTATATTCTATGTACTTGAAAACCTGCCTAATTCTGCCAGTCATCCGAATTGGTCTAATAAAAGGTATTTACCTCTTTCTGTAAACCTTGTCTTGCTCGTGCAATGTTTGCAGAGAGCCACTCGTGGGGCGTGGGAGGGCTGAGACAACCCCCAGTGGCAGAGGATACGCAAGTCATGGGTACTGCCCAAGACACATCACTTAATTCTTCTAGTTCTTTTGTACAAAATTCAGTCTTCTCAGGAGATATGAAAAATGTGGGACTGGCCACTGGTTTTCTCTATTTGGGTTTCTCGATTTGCAGAAACTTAATTCACTTAATTACAGGCCTGTGCAGCTACCCAAGCATCCTGTGCGTATTTCTGGTTGATGAAGAGACCTTTGCTAATTGCACGGCATGCAAAGACTTCTCTGTCGCTGTTTCCCTTTGCTCACAAGAGGTCCACACAGGACTTCACAGCTCGCTCCTCTGCAGTGAGTGCCGGGCTTCAAACGTAGACAATTTTTTAGCTGCGTGCATGAACAAGAAACAATGTTTCTCTAAAATTTCTTGGATTACTTATTGGAAAGTTGCACTAAAACATTGCTGTTTGAAATGTAATTCTTATAAATCCTCTTTGATTTTTGAGCCCTATTGAGTGCAAGAGATGTGCATGCAACACCATGAATTTATTAGGCCACGTAAATACTTATAGGAAAGCAGGATTTGCTGGGAGGGAGCAGGAGGCTTTTGCTGTTGTTCTGCACTGCTCCTAAAGCAACTGCACCGTAACTAGCATGAAAAATAAATTGAGGACTGTTTCTGGAAGTTGAGAAGTAACTCCACTGAATATTTGCAATTTCTGTAGGAAAAATAATATATATTTGTTTTCATCCTTTCATTGTAGCTTTTTGGAGCGGTAGTTCTGTCTCCCCTGAAGCGGATGCTGGCATTTGTGTTGCTATGAAAGTAACGTTATCTGGGTTTTTGCTTTTGTATAAAACTTCAGCAGTTTTGTGTGTTACAGCTCCGGCTGTGTTCGGCTTCAGCAGCTTATTAAACTACAAAAGTGAAGAAAACCTACTAAATGTTCCTAAAATAACCTTCCCTTGAAAACTTACGCTATTAAATTTCTCTAAGGAATTGACAGACCTATTTCTTGCTGCGGGAGCGAGACCGCAGAGGGGCATTTTTAGCCTGTTTTTCAACCATGACCGAAAATGCGGTTTACCGGCGGGCGGGGCGGCGCCAGGCCCGGCCGTGCCCAGCGCGGCCGTGAGGGGAAATGCCCCCACCATCCATCCGTCCATCCGCCGCCGCCGCCGCTCCCGGTTCACCTTTCCGAGCTCCCCTCCGCGGGCACCCTAGGGTCCGGTCCTGACCGGACGCGCCCCTCGGCCACCGGACACCCGGGGGTTCCCCTCCTCTCCCCCCCGCCTGGCGGGAGGGCCGGCGCCTGCCCACAGTGCCCTGCCCGCCTCCAAGATGGCGGCGGCGGGGGAGGCGGAGCGGCCCCGCCCCGCGGCCCGGCCGTAGGCTGAGAGCGGGCGGAGGCCGCGGGAGCGCCGCAACATGGCGGCGTCTGGCAGCGGCGGTAGCCGGGCGGATAACGGCTATGGCAGCCAGCAGCCGCGGCGGAGGAAGGGCCCGGGTGCCCTGGCCACGGCCTACCTGGTTATCTACAACGTGGTGATGACGGCGGGGTAAGGAGGCCGGTAGGGGTTTCCCTAGCCGGGGTGCCCTTGGCCCCTCGGCTCCCCTCAGCCCCCCACGGCCCCTCAGTGCCCGCCCGCCTCCCCGGGGCAGGGACCGCCGCCGTCCGCCGCTCTGGGGAAACTTTCCCCGCACCGGCTGCCCTCTGCCGGGCGAGGCGGCGGAGGGGCGGCGGGTCGGGCTCCCCGTCCCGTCGGAGGCGGCGTCCCCTGGGAGCGGAGCGGCAGCGGGTGGGAGCCCAGGGGCGCGGGGGGCTCCGCTCGGACGGGCCGTGGAGGTGGGTGCCCGCCCTGGGTGCGGGGCCGGGGCCGGGAGAGGAGCCCCGCTGCGGCGCGGGGCGCCAGAGCCGAGGGGCTGGTGGGGTCTCTTCTGTCGCGGTGTCCTTCCTCCTCGCTGTCCCTCGTGCCGTCGATGCCGCTAAAAACCACAGCCAGACCCTCCCTCGCTGCCCCTCGCCCGTGCTCGCCGAGGTGCTACGCTGCTCTCCCCGCCATGTGCTGTGGCCGTGGCCCGGCGCCGACGGAGCTTGGGTGTCCCCGGCCCCTCTGCGGCAGGTCCTCGTCCAGGTGGCCCCTCTGCCGCAAACAGGGCACACCGGCGGGAGTGTGCGTTCCCGGGAACGGCTGGGGTTTGTCACCGACACCTTGATTTGCTCTGCAGCTATCTCTGCATCCAGGTGATGGTGCAGATCACTCTTCTCGCCTCACCACGGCCGTGGTGCCGACTCCAGCACTTCTGGTAGGGAGGAGAAGCGAAACGCAGGGAATTGGTCTGTAGCAGGAGTTAAGAAGGCAGAGCTGTCGCCCTGTAGAGCCCGGCGAGGTTTTCCCCAAAACCCTTCGGCTGCTCCGTACTTCGGGAGAAGTTGAAGGCTGTCCCAGGCCTGCGCGATGCTCCGCTCCTGCCCCGCGCAGAGTGCTGCACGCTCAGCTCTGTTCTTCGGCGCAGAAATAAAAATAGCAATAACTGGGGACTCTCAAATTCATATGAAAGAGATTTTTTTTTTTTTTTAAGAGGCTGTAGAGTCTTAATGGAATCCAGATATAAATAAAACCATCTTTTCAAGGATGGAGGATATTTGGGTGGGAGGAGGAAAGAGCCTTTAAAATGGATCCCAAGGGAGCCTGTTTTCCACTAGATAAATCCTGGCGGGTGAGGAGTCGGGCAAACAGACCAGTCTCGCTATTTTAGGGGAAGATTAGTAAAGAATTAGTATAGATACGGTTTATTTCAATAAGGCAGTTGGACCTGATGGCTCCTGTCTTTGCTGGTGGCAGCTGGGGCTGGTTCAGCTTGGAAGGTGGTTACACTTGGGTGGAAGCTCCTCAGCTCTTGTGAGGTGCTGGTTATACCCGTTCCCCAGTAGGTGAGTTACTGGGAGGTGGGAGTGCTGAGCAGATTTATGGCTGCATAGGATATTTGCCGGGTATTTCACTCAGAGGGGAATGATAATTATGCCCCACTTTGATAAAAATTAATCTCTTGTTTCTCAATTCCACAAGCAGTACAATGCAGTACCGGCGGTCAGGAGGGCTCTCCGTTCTGTTGTGATGGCCCTGCACAGTGTTAAGAAGTTAAGCTCTCTGAGCTCTTCTTAGAAGTAAAAGCATTTGCCTGCTCATTGAGCTGCTCATATTTAATTCACTTATGTTTATAAAAGATCTCAAAAACCTGAGAGAGAAATTGCAATTTAAATGGAACGTTTCTGTAACGGTCCTGAACTTTTTATCACGGCAGGCGAGTTCCTGAGCATAAGAAATTTCTATTTCCTCAGAAGAAAAAATTGAACAAATTCAAGTGTTAGAAACTCCAAAATAAATAGCATAAATCTGTGTTTAGCTTCCCATTGTCAGGTGAATCTTGATCATAATGGTACCTGTTTTCCTGATTTGTACCAAACCTCCTAGAAAATTCCTGTCTTGGATGGGATGTGGCTTGTGGTGCTTTAATGTGAGCTGCATTTTTCTGGGCATGCTTGTGATTAGATGATTTCTGCAATTTGGGGCGCTACCATGGGGGTCCTGTGATAAGGGTCCATATCTCTGTGTTGCAGCTCTCTGCTGATCTTTTGAGGTAGGTCACCCGGACTGATAACTTGTCTTCAAATGGATAAGGATTTTACATTTCCCCTGGACACTGCTGAAATTCCCAAATATACAACGATGAGCTCAGGAAAAAACCCTCAATTACTTATTTTCTTCTTTTTAAAAGAGTTCATAATAAGGTAGTTTTTCAGGAGTTGGTTGGCAGAAGCTCAGCTGTTCATATGAAAAGATTGATACACAGCTGGTGGCAGTAATTAGTTACTGTCCCTGTGTCAGTCAGAGTGCTTTGACTTAGTTTCTCAGACAGCGCTG